TCGCGCACCGCCCCCCCAAGTTCTCTGGGGTGGTGCTCACTGCGGTGGTCCCAGAGCAGGCTCAGGTGTTGGAACAAGAAGTACAGACTCTGCTGTCGAAAGGAGCCATAGAACGTGTTCTTCCGGTAGACAGGGAGTCCGGGTTTTACAGCCGGTACTTTATAGTTCCAAAGAAGGATGGGGGGTTAAGGCCAATTTTGGATCTCAGGGTGTTGAACCGGTCTCTGAGAAGGTTCAAATTCAGAATGTTGACCATTCCAACAATCGTGAGTCAAATCAGATCCGAGGACTGGTTTGTCACGATAGATCTGAAAGACGCCTATTTTCACATCTCCATCCTTCCTTGTCACAGGAGGTACCTGAGGTTCGCTTTCGGGGGCGAAGCATACCAATATCGGGTTCTTCCGTTCGGCCTAGCACTCTCTCCCCGCACATTTACCAAGTGTATGGACGTGGCCCTTGCTCCACTGAGACTTCAGGGGATTCGCGTATTGAATTATCTCGACGACTGGCTTATTTTGGCCCAGTCTCGGGAGATGGCAGTTCGGCATCGAGATGTCGTTCTTGGCCATATTCAAAAATTGGGGTTAAGACTCAATTTGAAGAAGAGTGTGCTAGAACCGTCCCAGGGCACGACCTTTTGGGAGTCGTGTGGAACTCGATTACAATGCAGGCACGTATGTCTCCCGCACGTATCGAGTCAATTCTGGCGATGGTGTCCAGGGTGAGGCTAGGTCAGGCCGTCACTGTGAAACACTTTCAAAGGATGCTGGGCCTCATGGCAGCGGCATCCAACATTATTCCTCTGGGCCTCCTTCACATGAGGCCCCTCCAGTGGTGGTTGAAGACCAAGGGGTTCTCACCCAAAGGAAATCCGTTCCGTATGATCAGAGTAACGCGCAAGTGCCTTCAGTCTCTGCAAATATGGAAGAAGCCTTGGTTCCTATCCCAAGGGCCAGTGTTGGGGGTGTCATGTCGCCGGGAAACCGTTTCGACAGACGCCTCCCTTACGGGCTGGGGCGCGGTCATGGACGGCCGCTTTACCAGGGGTCTGTGGCAGGACCATCATCGCACTTGGCATATAAATTGCCTGGAGATGATGGCGGTATTCAAGGCTTTGAGGAGCTTCCTCCCAGACATCGAGGGTCGCCACGTCCTTATACGGACAGACAATACGTCAGTGGTGGCCTATCTGAACCGACAGGGGGGACTCAGATCGCGCCCTCTGTGCAAACTGGCGCATCAGATTATCCTTTGGTCCCAGGGAAAGATATTGTCAATAAGGGCAATGTATATCCCAGGGGTTCAGAATCGGGAGCAGACATCCTGTCGAGGCAGGGGCTGAGGCCCGGGGAATGGAGACTTCATCCGGATGTGGTGAAGTCGATATGGGAGAGGTTCGGACCGATGGAAGTGGATCTGTTTGCGTCTCGAGAGACGTCCCACTGTCCACTTTGGTTCTCCCTCTCACATCCAGCCCCACTGGGGTTGGATGCCATGGTACAGGCTTGGCCGAGGCTTCGCCTGTATGCTTTCCCCCCGATCGCTCTGCTCCCAGGGGTCCTGGAGAGGGTCCGTCAAGAGGGCATCAGTCTACTTCTGGTTGCCCCGAGATGGCCGACACGAGTATGGTTCTCGGATATAATATCACTCCTCATAGCTCCGCCATGGCCGATTCCTCTGAGGAGGGATCTATTGTCTCAGGCGGAGGGCACAATCTTCCACCCTCGCCCAGAGTTGTGGAAGCTGTGGGTCTGGCCTCTGAGGGGGTTCAGTACCTAAATGCTGGCTTATCAGCTGAGGTGGTTGAAACCATACTTAGCTCTAGGGCCCCATCTACCAGGAGATTATATGGCCTCAAGTGGAAGGTGTTTCACACTTGGTGTGGAGAACGAAGGTTGGATCCAGTAAACTGCCCAGTGGCTTCAGTTCTGGAATTCCTTCAGGATCGTTTCTCTGCGGGTCTCTCCCCGTCCACTCTTAAGGTGTACGTGGCTGCCGTTTCGGCTTTCCACGCGCCAGTAGATGGTGGACCTCTGGGGAGGCACCAGTTGGTCATTAGGTTTCTCCGTGGTGCTTGGAGGATGAGGCCGGCGATCAGGTCCAGGGTGCCCGCCTGGGATCTGGCAATAGTTCTGGAAGGGTTGTCCCTCGCTCCCTTCGAACCTTTAGAGTCGGCTTCGCCTAAGGACTTAACGTTGAAAATGGTCTTTCTCTTAGCGATTACCTCTCTTAAGAGGGTGGGAGATCTCCAGGCCCTGGCGGTAACGCCAGCTTGCTTGGAGTTTGCCCCTGGCAAAGTAAAGGCCTTTTTGCACCCGAGTCCGGGCTACGTGCCTAAAGTTCCTTCGAGTACGGCTCGCTCTGTAGTCCTTCAGGCATTCCATCCTCCACCTCATGTGTCGGCGGGAGAAGAGAGGCTTCACTTGCTCTGCCCCGTCAGAGCTTTGAGTGTATACTTGGAAAAGTCTGCTTCTTGGAGAAGATCTGACCAGTTGTTAGTATGCTTTGGGTCACCTAAGAGGGGGCTCCCGGCGACCAAACAAACTATAAGTAACTGGATTGTCCAGGCTATTACTGAGGCTTACAAGGTGCGTGGGTTCCTTCACCTTTGGCCTTAAGGGCTCACTCGACTAGAGGCATGGCTTCCTCTAGGGCCCTTCTGTCGGGAGTACCTCTGCAGGAGATTTGTGAGGCAGCCGGCTGGGCTACCCCGCATACTTTCATCAGGTTTTACAGTCTCAGCCTTCCCAGTACGCCCGGTGCACACGTACTCGGCCCTTGCTGAGTGCCTAATCAGTTTCACTCTGGGGCGGGTCTGTTCGGTGCGTGGCCTAGTGGGTACTCGTTCCCCAAAGAGTCGATTTTATCGACGCAGTGTTGAGTTCCCTCGATAGGGAACGTCTCGGGTTATGACTATAACCCTTGTTCCCTGAGAAGGGAACGAGACACTGCGTCGTGTTGCCACGCCCCCTTTTCAGACCCTTGAGCGTCTTGCTTCATCGCGAGGCTAGTGTGTGTTGTGACAGCGTCACTTTTATACTTCCGGGTATGCCGTCACATGTTACGTCACGACGCAACACCAATCAGGATTGGATTAGTTTCATTCATACTTCAGAGGCGCACGCTTAGGGAGCGTCCCCAAAGAGTCGATTTTATCGACGCAGTGTCTCGTTCCCTTCTCAGGGAACAAGGGTTATAGTCATAACCCGAGACGTTTTTCCCTGAAAGGATTGTTGTTGCCTCTCCACCATGGCTGTAAGGGATGTTCTCCAGGTACGGCTCAGGCTTTCCGCATGGCTGTGTGGTGTTTGAGCACAGCAGCATCAGTGCACCATTGATTTAATTAGGTCTCCATCTCCTCTGCCTGACAGAAGTTGATTAGAGGTGCCAGATGCCCCATGTGTAATTCCACTGCCAGCTGCCACATAGCTTTGCCAATCCTCTATGATTAGTACCCACTGGCAACTGGGCAAGGCACAGGTGCCAACTGGAGCCAGGAGAGAGAGAGATACATACAGGCTGACGTCCCACTGCAGTAGCTGGGATGGGGGGACAAGGGGAAGTGGGACGGTTCAAAATGTTTAAAACTGAGGAGAATCGCACAGTTGGGCCAACTTGAGGTGGGTGTCAGATAAGTACCAGCCATTTTAAAGTCACAATGAAATCAAAATGTAATTTATTTTGTGTGGAATATTGTATTTATTATAAAAGATTTATCCATGGATATTATGTGCTCTTTTAATCTTTAATCAAAATAACTCCTCCCTACTACAATGCATCCAATGTCTTCTCTGATGACACGTTTACTGCTGTGAGGGCAGGACAACCTGTCAGTCACATGAGATCTCAGCAATAGCAAATGACAATTATCCAATCATCCAATCAGTCTCTGATGAACAAAATCAAATTCAGTCCCACATTTTTTTCTTATTCCAGAAGCCGTTTCACTTGGATAAATGTCACAATATAGAAGAAAAAACCATGGCCGTTTCAAATTCATGCCAAGATTAAAGGTCTGCAGTGAGATATGATATGCATTTGGTCTCTTGTCATTAACAGCGCTGAGTTTCAAACTGAATTTGAGCGCTGTGAGAATTAAAACTTGCACATCTAATCAAAAGCATTCTAGATGGTTACTGAGCATGAAGCTTTAGCAAAAGGGGCACATCTAAAAGTGCGGCCATAAAAGGAGGTGACCATCTGCCCTGTTTTGGAGATGTGTGTGGTTGTACGTGTGTTTGAGTGGTTGTGTGCGAATGTCTAAATCCCTCCCTCCATTCCTACCCATGTGCTCGCTGAATGGGCCATGAAAAGAAGCCAAGTCCAGCGCCATAAACCCAACAAGCATACTCATTCACACCCACGAATGCACAGGCATATACATAGACACCAACTGAGCCAACAATACCCACAGCTGTGCACTGTTTAAACCTATTGATGAGACAGGCCTTTAACATCGCTCCCTTCAGCGTTTTAACGCTGTTCAGAAAAGCTGCGCTTGTACTTTGACTGCAAACTCTAAATTTAAACTAAAAAATCTGCAAGATCAGCAAACAAACTCTTCACCCCTTCATCTCGGGATTTTACATTGTTTTACTATTTGATTCCATCATATACTTCCATCATGCGCTTCCTTTACTTCTGGAACTCTGAAGTTAATTACTTCTTGTTGGCTGAACTCCCAATATGTAGAGAGTACAGTAAACTAATTTTCCAGCCAGCAGATATCACAGGTGACCTCTCTTTCCTCCATAAGATAAGTCCTACATTTCCCTTATCTGTGAATGCTGCAGGATGTTCCTGGTGTTCAAGGCACAGCTGTTTGTATTAAGATGTGTGCTCAGGAAATACGTAGGATTCCTCTACATAGATTCCCCACTACAGAAACCCCTGGCTAACCGTTAGTCAACCCACATATGAAATCACGAACAGTTAAGAAATGATGGTTGTACATTGCTGAGTGTGGTTAATATGAAGGTGCTTAATGTTGTCCTTACCTGTGTAGATAAATCTTCCCGGTGTACCTTTGCAAAACTGCTTTGACTTGTAGGACAGAGTGACCTCCACAACCCCGGGAATGTGTCTGGGAGGAGTCTGAACTCGAATGGCGTGAGGGGTTATGAGCTGAAAAAGAGATAAAACAAAATGTGTTGCTTTCAAAATAAAACAAGTAGAATACATAGGTTGAAATAAGACAACAATATATTCTAATATACTGTTCAGAGTTTATGAACCGCAACAATGAGAGGATAAGGTAAATTATATCTCTGGAATTGGATCGTGGACACTATCGTCCACTAATTGGACACTAAGGCTTAATTAGAAAAAATGAACTCTGACGTAATACTAGGATACTGACTATTTTCAGAATAGCTTACAATCATCTTATTCTTATAGTGTTATATACACACTGCCGTCCAAAAATTTTGTACGATTTTTTTATGTTTTTGAAAGAAGTCTCATCTGTTTACCCAGGTTGCATTTATTTAATCAAAAACACAATAAACACAGTAATATTGTGAAATATTATTACAATTAAAAGAATTGTTTTCTATTTGAATATATTTTAAAATGCAAGTTATTTCTGTGATGGTAAAGCTGAATTTTCAGTATCATTACTCAAGTCTTCAGTCACATGATCCTTCAAAAAAACATTCTAATATTCTGATTTGCTGCTCAAGAAACATTTCTGATAATTATCAATGTTGAAAAAAAAATGTTCTTACTGACTCCAAACTTTTGAATGGTAGTGTACAATGTTACAAACGTTTTTTTTTTATTTCAGATAAATGCTGTTTTTTTGACCCATCTATCCATTTATAACATTGATAATAAGGATAAATAAGTATTTAAATTAAATGTTTTTCAACATTGATAATTATCAGAAATGTTTCTTGAGCAGCAAATCAGTATATTATAATGATTTCTGAAGGATCATGTGACACTGAAGACTGAAGATTAGTGATGCTGAAAATTCAGCTTTGCCATAACAGGCAAAATGTAACTAAACATATTCAAATAGAACAGTTAATTAAACTTTATTAAATATTTCACAATATTAAAAATTTTACTATATATATATATATATATATATATATATATATATATATATATATATACACACACACACACACACACACACACACACACACACACACACACACACACACAACAATGCGGTCAGTAGCTGTGCATTATACAGTAAATATAGTAAGCAAGTATTCTATTCTGAACATCGATTATACATATTTAGCCTCTGAGATGTTGAGAGCTTCATGGAGTGTTTTTTTTTTCTCCCTCTCATTCTGTTCCTTATTTTAATATATGAACAATATTGATGGCATCCTGAAGGACAGTTATGAGAGGTCATTGGTCAGTACTAATTATGACCAATGACCTCTCATAACTGAGGTCATGAAAAGGTCAACAGAAAAGATGACCTTTTCTGTTAGTTCCATATGGTGACGCAAATCTCGCCAGCCAGTGAGATTAAAGCTTTTGTCAGTTTGAGGTGCAGACAGTCCAAGTCATTACATAATCAAAATTCTGTCCACCTTTTTTGCATCTGCATTTTCTGACACTGTATAACGTCCACTGTATAACTTCACAATGTTTGAAACGTGCATTTAAGGTACTCCTGTTTACCTGCACTCATACTAGCTGAGCTATTAAACAGCATGGTTTTATTCTCTGATTAAACTATGATTTGACTGCTTACAATGTTTGTGAAGCTGTGCTCAATCCCCTTTGAAGAGGAGCCATGCCACTACAAAGAAGCCAGGAGCGCTCAGTTTCCCTGCAAATACTCTGTCATATTCAAAGCCAGCAGCACTGGTGCTGCTTTACATGGCTTTAAACTGTCCCTTTCATTGCTCACTTACTGTAGCTGGGCTTTCATATGCCAGGCAGTGCTCTTCTCACCTCTCAGATAAATATGGCATTGTCAATGAGAGGCTTTTTATAGAATTACCTCTTTTATCTAGCTCTTCTCAACATAAGCAGAACAGAAACTGAGTGAAAGACCAAAACAGATGGACAGACAGGAAAACAGACAGACTGGCTAACCAAAAATGAGCCTGCGCTGAGAACAGAAGCATTACGTCCTTTCAGACTGGCATGTGCCTTCTCAGATTTGTTAGCCAAGTGGATTTTGAATCAATCTTCCATATCGTACATATTTTATATAATTAAGTTGTAAGTAAAAAGGTGCGTTTTAAATGTCATTTTCTTTCATATTCAAATTCTGTTGTGACTCTTAAATCTCTGTTGTTGTCTGTTGAGCATGAATTGTACAAAGTGAAAAGAAAAGTAACTAACCTCACTCCAGACCAGCATGGTGCCAAAGATGACCTGTAGGCCGTCAAAAAAGTTATCACCAATGATGATGACTGTGGCACCCCCTGTTGTCCAGCCTTCACTGGGACTGATGGCCTTAATGCAAGGAGTAGCTGTTTTAGAGACAGAAGAATATGAACAAATGAGTGAGACAGTGGCTCAGCGTATACAGTAAACAGCTTGTTTTCTTGAAAAGACATATGAATTATAGATTAATTATGGCTATATGTATTTGCCTGTGTACACATCAAGACACCTGTAAAGTGATTATATGAAAATAATGTCAAGATGCATGAGAATAAACATCTGGAAGCAGCAAGCACATCGTCACTCGTGTGCATCACCTGTGACATAATTTCATGCACAGACTAAATTCGTCGGAAATAAATGTAAAGCTGTGGAACTGATTTCTTCCTGATTCGGGGAAATAGATTCATGAGCCACACTCTATTAGGAAGCTTTAGGCACAGCTTAATGACAAGTGACTGACTCATTAGAGTCGTCACATATGATTAGACTGTGGCCATTCCTCTGCACAGTCCCCATATGCTTCCTGACAGCGGTGCGAGCATGAGAGATGACGCTTGCTCACCGATCATTTATCTCAATCTACCCTGTGTAGTAGCATGATTCACTGCTGGAAATCTCCTGCAGCCTAACCATGATCATCTCTAGTTGTGTTTTGGGATTTTTAGATTGTCACATGGAGGAACACAAACTTGAAATCAAAGAATGGAGTGGAGATATAGCAATTTATCCACCCCGCTCAGTGTTTTGTAATCACTCCGCTTTCTCTAGTGAGTAAAAGTCCACTCCGAATCCACTCCATAGCTTAAAACTGCACTGTTATGGCTCAGCAGTAAATTCTCTCTTTACTCTCTTCTGTTTCCTATACTGAAATTGATATTAGAGATTATATAAATTTATATAATACACATATTGTATCATTTGTATTATACATTCATATAATTTGATATAATTATTTTTTTATGTATAATGTTGGATATTTAACTAGGCATGCCCATTTCCCCCAATTATTATATTTTGATTACCTTTGCCATTACATATTGTTAAAAAAACTTGTTTAATAATTTAAATTTAATTAATTTATTATTGGAATTAAATTAATGGTTAAATGTAATCTTTAGCAAGTCTCAAAATGATTACGTACATTATAAATTTGTAACGCCTAAAATTACTTTTAGCAATCTAAAATGATTGCGTTTAATTTTAATGTTTTATATTGAATTTATTTAGTCAAAATAGTGTTACATTTTAAAACCATCGATTTATAAAACATAGAAGATATTTTAAAGAATGTTGGTGACCAGACAGTTCATGGTAGCCATTGACTGCATACTTTATTTTCTACTATGAAAGTCAATAGTTATTGTCAACTATCTGGTCACCAACATTCTTTAAAATACTGTATCTTCTTTTGTGTTCAGCAGAAGACAGCAACTCATTCGGATTTGGAACAAATTGAGGGTGAGTAAGTGATGACAAAACTGTCCTTTTTGGGTAAACTATCCCTTAATAATATTAAACAATAATTAAGTTGCAAATTATAGACAAAAAGGTGCATTTTATAAAATTTTCATTGTATTAAAATTCAGCTTGACCAATGTGATTCTCAAATCTCTGTTGTTGTTTTGTCATTTTGACATTGTTTCTGCAATATCATAACACAAATTTCAGAAAGAAAATACAATTTTCTTACATGGTATGCTAATGATGGAGTGTCATCAGAGCAAGTTTGGAGAAAGAGAAAACCTTGCTCCTTACTCCTGGAAAATCCACTTTCTCCACTTTTACGCCGCCCAACTTATGCATTCTAGTCCAAAAACACTCAGAATCAGTTGACAAAACTTGTTGCAAAGTTGAGTGCAGGAAAAAAAAGAAAAAAGAAAAAGAAAAAAACATGGCGACAGGACACCTGACTCCCTGGTGCTCTGCTTATGAAAGGCATAATTCCCCTCCGCCTATGTTTTAGTCATGGACATAATTACCGTAAAACGTCAAATAATAGCCGGGATTTTATTTCCCCAAATCGTGGAACTGCGCCGGCTTGTATTTGAGAAAGACGTCTATATGAGACCGGCCTTTATAATTTAGTGTTTAGATGTTGTAGTCTCTAATCTCTAAAAATCTCCAAATGCTCCACGTGAAACTGCGTTCTTCCAACCTTTTAATATCGTGTCAACTGATTTTGATTAATATGTGCGAGGGAGAGAGAGTAAGACAGCACTCGTGTTGTTTGAAGACGTGAGAGTGTGCGCACATGGCGCACACACTCTCTCTGACTCTGTCTCTCTCTCTCTCTCTCTCTCTCTCTCTGCTCGTTATGCGCCCTGTCAAGTGCAGCAGTCTCTATTCTACATCACTCACCGATCAAAATAGGCTTTGGCGGGACAAAAATTTGCTTTGGCAGCCGCCAAAAAGCGGACGATCTGATTGTTTTAGAAAATTAACAACCCGAAACTCAAAAACAGACCCGGCCTCTAAAAGACCTTTAAAAGAGACAGGCGTCTATTTGGGCCTCGGCTATTATTTGAAGTTTTACGGTAATGAAATCTGAGGGTCAGACTGGAAAAGATCAGTGATGAGTGTAAAATAGCAGCACTACTCCCTCCAACCCCTCCTTCCTTCCCCTCTGGCGGTAGTAGGAGAACAAGAATGCTAATTCCGCTTGATTATACACACACCTTTATTAAATATTACACTGACCCCATGTGTGCCCAGGGAGGGAGGGGGCCAGGTGCGAGTGCTTGTTTTATGACACTCGTGCAAATGTCATGAGTGCCGGAGTTCGCCAGGCACAGAGAAATCCAGAGTCATTACAGCAGTCGATCAAAAGGCCAGGCGCCCTGGGACACTCTGAGAAAACAGCAGCCAGCCATAAAAATTCAACACCTTAATGAGTTTAAATTTCATTTCAGCATGTTGAACTTTGGCACCGGATTCTAAAGCTTGGTATCTCACTGAAGACGCTTTAACCGACTAATTACTGCTGTTCCAATTTGCTTCTGAATTTAAATAGAAGGAAAAGACATGAGGGAGGGAAAAAAAGGAAAAGTAAGGGTCCTCTGAGGCAGCTGTCAGAGGCAGAGAACGGGAGAGTCTGTCACGGGCGGCTCTGTTGTCCTCTGTGACTCTGATAGGGGGACTAAGCACACATCTTTTAACAAGCGTTATTCACGGCTCTGACTGCAGGCAGGACCCCTGGGAGAGGGTAGGGGTCTACACTCAATGCACGTGTGATAGTGTACCTAAGTGAGGCAGACGGACGGTGGAGGCAGATGGCCTGCGTATAGCAGGCGCTCGGTTCTGCTGATAGGACCTGAACTGAGACGAAACAAGGCTCTAGACCTCACTCACATAGCTTAAACTGGTGTGTGTCAGCCATCGGCGATGCCTTGGGAAGAGCTAGCATAGATAATTGCAGGGGATATTGGGAACCTGCAGGGGAAAACGGTCTGGGGAACTGTGTTGGCGGAAGCAGGTTTCAACTATCAAGCTACAAGGAAAATTAAATCTAATGTAAACTACAGTCATGCAACCCTTTTGAAAAAGTAGTTAGCTCCACTGCAAGCTGTTAATAAAAAGAAGCTGGACACACTACCGTTCACAAGTTTGGGGTCGTTAAGATTTAAAAATATTTTTTGAAAGAAGTCTCTTATGGACACCAAGGCTGCATTTATTTGATCAAAAATACAGTAAAAACAAATTTATTGTAAAATGTTACTGTTTAAAATTGTCCAACGCATTCTCACCCCAAAGCGTCACCTTTGACCATGCTTCAATATTTGACGTTTTAGGCGCCCTTTAGCGTCACTTACATGACGCGATCCTACGGCGTCATCTAACTGACGCTAAAGGAAAGCGTCAGTTAGAGGACGCGGTTAGGTTTAGGTGTGGGGTGGGGGTAGGGTACACGTGATCCTAGGGCGTCATCTAACTGACGCTAAAGGGCGCCTAAAGCGTCAGATATTGAAGCATGGTCAAATGCTTCCCAAGGCGTCAGTTAGGTGACGCCTTGGGAGTGAGAATGGGCTGAATAGTGTCACATGATCGTTTAGAAATATGCTGATTTGATGCTCAAGAAACATTTCGAATTTACAAAAAAAAAAATCAGGATTCTTTGATAAATAGAAAGTTAAAAAACAATATGTATTTGTGAACACATCAATTTGCACTAAATAGCACATATGGTCTGTGAGATTATTGTGTAATACTACTTGATAAAGAATTTCCTCTTTTTCATCTCTGCATTTTATCTGTTTATTTTTGTTTAATCATAAAACGTATTACACAGCAACAGCAGAATATGGAAATACTTGATTATCTTCCAGGATTCAGATTTACAGAGTCCTTGTAATATTAAATGTTTTCCTAAAGGTATATTGCAATTTAAATAGGGAATTACAAGTTTTAGATTAAGGAACATGATTTTAAAGCATTTCAATAACCCCGAATATACAAATCAAATCTCCTTAGACTAACCGAAATGTCACAAATATTTTGTGTTCCAGCCATGTTGTAATTTTCATAAGTGAAGTAATCCACTTTGTGGCCTTGAGGACTTCCCCAGCTAGTCTTTTTTATTTGTATGAGCTGTGTTGTGGGTGACTGCTGGGCATAATGCAATTTGGCGGCGTGATAAACCAGGAGAGATGAAGAGGAATGTTGAAGCAATCTGTGATGGTAATCTTGGCCTAAGACGACTCTTTTGCAGGGTGCTGAAATTGTGCATGGATTAAGCAGATGGTGGTATGTGAATCCATCTGATAGGATTAAACTTTGGTGCCTCCTCTGCTGCCATCTGTTCCCTTACGCTGCATGCATGCGTATGTGCACTCACTTTTACACACATCTCAGATACAAGCACAATAGCTTTCTCTTCTACAAACTTACATTCTCAAGCCCTGCAGACATCTATTTCCACCACAGTGCATTTGTGACATGACCTCACGTATTGGTGCCCTCACTTTACCCTCGCCGTCTCCCCAGCCCAGAGCAATCAACACACATGCACACCGTGTCTGACAGAACAGGCTCATTAGCTGGAGGGGAGTGGAAATGTTCTGAAACTGACACAATAATAGACAAGAGTGGCCAAGCAGAGGTGAGTGAAGGGATGTATGAAGGCCATTTTTGCATATTTTGAGCTGATTTCAGTGGAAAAATCAACAGAATTTGGTGGAAGGGATTTAAATATGGTAAAATGTGTAAAGTATGCTATTATTTGGGAGCAAAATGTATTATAAAATTAGCCAAAGTGCCTTATAAGATCATAAGGGGTGGGAATGTGTAGAACTGCAGTGAATGACAAGTGTTCAAATTTCAAGTGGAATCTAGTTATTACTGGAACTGTATTGAATTTTGAAGCTATGACTTTGTGAGTTTCTGCAATTGCCCTCCAAGAAAAATATGTCTATATGTGCACAGTCAGGGTGTTATATTAGACATAAGCAGAATTGCAGTATAAGCCTGTCTGTCTCAGGATTTATCCTATCCTTTCTTTTGGAAAAAAAAAAAAGAGAAGGAAAGTAAATTTCCACAATTTTTCAAATATGTTGAGGCTTTAGAAAAATGATTTTTGTCATTTTTTCAGTCCAGTGGAAACTATGCTTAAAGACTTAAGACTTCCCCAGGAGAATAGAGAGAACTTAATCATCAGCATCATCATCATCAAATCATCATCATTCAAATCCTTATTTTTTCATCATAGACGGAGGTTAACAGTCCAAGAGAAAAATGTGTTCTTCTCTAGAGTCATCCCAAACATAAATGAGAAAATGATTGGATTTGATTGTGACTGTGGATCAAATCATTACTCAAATCATGTTCACATGTTATTAGACGGATTTATGAGGGCAGCACTATAACCTGCAAGAGATGGAGGACGGAAGATAAGGCCACATGACGCTCAGAAAATAAATGCTCAGTGCTTAAGACTTAGAGGTCTCGTAAGACACATGTTCAAACCTAAAGAGAACAGGCCACTTGGGGAATTCTCCGTTCACTGCTCTTTTCTTAGCCTGCACAAACCATAGTGGATTATGGGTGCTTTGCTGCACTGCTACTGTTGGTGTGCCATTTGTCAGTCAAATGAATGTCTGGTTAGCTCAAACCACCAGCATTATCTGGCATCAGCATGACTTGTTAGTGGCATTATCATGACTGCGGGACACAGAGGTGTTAAATCAGAGTCACTATCGTCTGACTGAATGTCACAGTTGTCTTTCGATTCAAAGTACTGTATGTGCACATCCAATCATCACTTCAGCAGGTGCTCGAAAATCAATAGGAAACTGAGCTGAAATGCAAAAGAACCGGCACACTGCTATCTTTGCTCCCTAAAAAGTTTAATAAAAAACTTTTCGAACACAAGCGGTCTTCGTCAGGTAAAGCAAATAACAAATATCAACAACTTTTATATTAACATGATGAGCAATCAGTGAAATGACCAATCATCCAGTAAACCAATGAAATCCAATGGAAAAATCCAAAGACAGTTGAACAAAGATATAAACAATATCTGCAACAAAAGGTTGCAGTTATACCGCAAAAGAAATCCTTAAAGTGCGGACACATTAGTGCAATATTTCAGGAAAAGGATCCATTATCAAAAGTTTAGTAATGTTTGAAACACAGCTGACCTCAATGTAAAATCGACAACATAATTTGTGTCTTACCCCATTGAACTTTTCTTGTTTTTAGCCTAAATTGCTCACATTTATTCTGAAAACAAAAGATGCTATTTTCCAATGGGCTAGAACATATTCATTGTCTTACTGTACCGTATCCACTTTTTTAGAAAGAAATCTTTAAGGATATTTACATACTTTTAATGGATAACACGGAAAAAAAAAATTTCCATTAGCAAAGCATAAAGGCCTGTTCACACCGGGACAAATTTCGCACACGATATTCGCCGACGTTTAATGTCTTGTGAATAAACAATGGGCGCCAATGTGAGTGTGTACACCGACGCGAAAAACGGCAAGCGTAAAATCGTCATTTTTTAAAAAAAAAAGTTTTTTTTTTTTTTTTTAAATGCCGCGTCAAAAAATATCCAACCAATGAGATTGGCGCTTTTGCTCACGTGTTTGGAGCTTCTGAAGTTACAGTAAAATACAACTTGGGGGCGCTCAAACACGAAACGGTCTTGCCGCGCACACATACGTAATGGCGAAGAAGCTCTACGCCAAGTAGCGTCGCCGACTACACTGCCAGGAAGAAATAAGACGAGGAAGATGCAAGGCAAGATGAATGTAGAGCTGCTGGTCTCGTTGGTGTTAGAACATAAAGAACTATGTGACAAACGCGACTGCGACTACAAACATCTTGATAAAAGAAAACTGTTATGGAGTGGTATTGCAGAGCAAATGGGCGCCATCTAATATCAGGGAATGAATTTGCATGTTCACTCGGCTCATCGCTTGGGTGTGAACACAAAAAACGTGTTGAAAAACGCTGACGAATAACGTGCGCTGATATTTGTCCAGTTGTGTATGGGCCTTTAAAGTCAAGGATTCTTCAGTGGAATTGACCTGGTTGCATTTGCTAGTTTTTTTGCATTTGAACTCGACCGCACATAAGCACCACCATTCAACATGTTCGACTGTTCATTCAATGATGTTTAACTTATTTTAAGAATGATTATTTTGTTCAATATTTAAACCTTTTAGAGACAGCTGTAAGTAAGCCATTGCTAGGTTGAAAAAAGTGAAATCAATATTTTTGCAATACCATTTGTTTATACTAGTTGGGTAGAAATTGAATAATTAAGCTTTAAACTAAGTTGATGTAAAGGAAAAAGGCAGTGCTAGCCATGATGGCATATTGAAGTGGCTTAGCTTTGCTGGATGTGCTAGGAACGTTAGCCGTGTGCAAATAAAAGAGTTTGTTGTGGGGAAAAGTACAATGAAGGATTTTATAACGGCAACTACATAAACATTGCAGGTGTAAGTCTTGTCTTTTATTCCTTCTGTTTCCCCCTATTTTTCTCAGTGTGAAAAATGACAAACTCGTGTTTTTATTTCTCAACAAAATGCATGTAAACAGGTAGACACATACAGTATGTACTCTCACCGTGCTCCAGATATGACGGAGTTCCTTCAGACGGGTCCAGCCTGCGAGCTCTACGTCCATGTTTAGAGTTATTGTGTACAAACATGTTATCAGACACAGCCAGGACGTGTCCGTCCACGTTGACCGTCGTAGACACCACCACCTGCAGAAGACGAATAATGACTGCATTTCACTTGACCCACAAAGACACACTCGGTCCTTGTATACAAATGAATACGCAGCTCAAACAAACAGCTCAAGTGTTGAGGCAGCACAAACACACGTGTAACCGCTGACTGATAAATTGACATACAGGCACATTTCACCAGAGAGCCTGGAACCATGACAGCAGCTAACAGCTCTCAAGGAGCTAAAGTCATAGACTAGAGGTGTCTCACAGCAACTGAGGAGCCTCTTGATTTAAATGGCTCTCAGGCTTTGAGAGGTCTCTCAATCTCAAGAGAGGAAGAGGCTTGATGAGACTTGGCAAACACCGCTTACATTATCCCTGTTCTGGGCAGCCACTTCATTCGCTCAAAGCTTCTTTTTTCTCTCTCTATTCTCCATCAGTATTTCTTTATATGTTCTCAAGTACTCACATTTTATCAGTTAAGAAACCATTCTTTGGCCTCAAAATTACATAAAACCACATTTTAAGTGAAATAGTGGGTGGTCAGTTGAATGTGTTAATTCAGTGTATGTAATAATATAATACATACAATTATAATAAAAATATATAATTGTGTATATACTATTTATAGCCACTTTATCTAATATCTATTTATTAATAGTCTAATGTAATGTATTTGAAAGATTTTTTTTAGCAAATATTGATCAATTTATTCTGATTGTTTGAGTATGTATAGTATAGCATGCAATTCCGTCAATTAAGAATGTAGAGTCATAGTAAAATAAAATATTTCAAATATACTTTCAAAATCCTATATGGATTTTCATGAACTACTTATCTGTTAAACATTAATATAATAAATAAACTAATCATTATTATAATAGTACTTGCAATGTTATTAACGACAATATAAATGCAGCTTGTCCAGTCACATATATGACTAAAATTGCAATTTTGGTCTAACATGGTCTTACCTGAAAGCGCCGCATGTCTCGTGGGTTTCCTGCATTCTTTAGGCAGTTCTGGTTGCATTTGAGAAAGAATTTCAGGAAGAACCTGGAAAAACACAGAATAAAAGGATTTATGAGGTAAGTCCATTTTGTTCATGACTCTGGCGCAGAGACTGTGGAAAAGATGGCAGGGTTGTGTGGCATTGACATTGACCACATTAGAGCTATATTATGTGCCACCCCGCTATGAGGAGTTAACCTACATCCTCCTACTCTGCATTCTTAAGATAGATAGCTACATACATATTCACAAAGTTACAATAAGCAACACACTGTCTAGGATATGAAGACGCCAGAAACATGCCTGTCAGCTGAGTGAAAAGAAGAACACAGGAGATCAGGAGAGATTGAAATGTTACCGAAGTTGTTAAGGCAACCATAGTAGATTGATTTATGAATCCCTATTAACACTTATTAACTATTATAAAGAAATATGCTAGACGCGTCTATTCACTGTACTGTGTACTTGTGCTCAACTTCACAGGGGTACATCCAATATTGTAAATGTTTCTGTGTCCTTTATCAATTAAATTAATAATGTCTCTCAAATGATTTCTAAGCGTTTATTGTTTATGCATTTTAATAACAGTGTTTTAATGTTGGATCCAGTGGGCTTGTCAGATATTGTATGGCTGTGACTCAGCGTGTTTCCCCTCCTTTCTCTGCAGTCTGAAATCTACAATACTAATTAGCACAGTGGGGTATCTCTTTTTTCTTCATTTATGGTTTTCTGGTTCACTGCACTGGTATAGTTGAGAACCCACATCTATCTGCAGCATACACTATTATATTTGCTGCCTGTCACTACTTACACAAATGCATTGATACTATTGCAGTGACCTACATATCCATCATCTTTTACTAACAATACCATGGACTCCTATTCATTTTATAGACACAATAGTTCAAATGAATACTTTTACTCAAAAAGGATGCATTATATTGATCAAAAGTGACAGTCAATTTTTTTACATTTACAACAAAACTTGAAAAAATTAAATAATAGTAATTAAAATAAAATGATGAGCATAAGAGACTTCTTTCAAAGACATTAAAAATACATACCAAATATCAACCCCAAACCTTTGAACGCAAGTGTACAGCTAAATATAAATACTACAGACTAACCCAAACAAACAGTCTAGCCGTTGATTTTTTTATAATAAAAAATGTAACCCCCCCCCCAAAAAAAAACAAAAAAACAAAACAAAACAAAAAAAACATATTTAAATATAATTTTTTCTGCAAAGTGTAGCTTAATATGTATGTGTACTCATCCATTCTTCTCTTCTTAGGCTATAATAATAAGTATTATTATTATTATTATTGATAAATGCATATGTATACGTATAAACTTTTTTCATAAAAATTGATTATTTTAGGGGTGTGGTTAGAATTTAGGTTAAGGCTAGTCAGTATTAGCTTATATCAAAAACAATAGAAGTCAGTGGAAAGCCTCACAATGACAATAACAATGTGTGTGTGTGTGTGAGAGAGAGAGAGTGAGTGAGTGAGTGAGTGAGTGAGTGAGTGAGTGAGTGAGTGAGTGCAGCTGACTTGTTAGCAATGAAGGAATGTAATATGCATAGTCTGTGTGCACTGGCTGGGATTAAGCGGCACAGGTCTCATCCTTTGCTTTATAATCTACTGTTTGTGCCACCCTTCTAACATCTACAACATTACACATCAATGTGTGTCAGGCCATTCATCCAAATTTCAAGCCTTTGTGCCAAGTAGCATAGATGGAAAATATGTATACTGTACATATGATCGCATACTGTATCTTTACTTAAAGAGAACAACTTTGATTAACTTTTTTGATCCACTTCAAATGTATATATATATATATATATATATATATATATATATAGACCATTTCACAAGATGTAAACAACACTGGTCCAGAAGCACTTCCTGTTTCAGTTTTTTAACACTACATAAAAGCTGGGATAAAATACAACCAACAGAACATATAAAACTGAATCAAAAAGTTAAACAATCATCTTTAAGACGTTTTCTTTACATGTGAAATAAAGAAAACAGTTACAAACTGAAACAGGAAGTGCTTCTGGACCAGTGTTGTTTACATCTTGTGAAATGGTCTATACACATTGGATGTGGATCAAAACACTTCATCAAAGTTGTCCTAAGACAAGACTGGGTTGTTCAAGGTTCATGTATAACTTTGATGAAAGATCCACTTCAAATGTTGTCTATGGGTGTGTGTGTAATTTGTAAATATATGGAACAAAAATATGCTGTGTATGATTGAGTGTGCAGTGCATATCGATCAGATCTAGCATTTGCAGCTCATTGGGTGCATTGATAAAAACATGTTTGTGTGTGTGTTATCCACAGTGTTGTTTGGGTAAGCAGATTAGCGCTACAGACCTCGTCTATAATATCATTTAAGAACTCTAAGCCGTGGCTTCTTCCTCGCTGATTCCCTCTGCCACTGACCCTGTCTGAGCACTCCTGAACTGTCCCTTATTCTTCCACGCTCTCGATTTCTTTCTCTTTCCTGCTTTGTGTGGAGATAAGTCTGGGCTTAACCTCATCGCTGACATCACGCTCTCATAGTCCTCCTAAATCCCCTGCAAAACCCTGGGTGCCCTCACTTTAGGAAGACATCCTTTGTCTTTCTTTCCCTCCACTCCACAGATTTGTCCTTCTGGTCTCCTAACCGCACGCCACGTTCACATAAACACTCACTCATAGTTTTTAGAGCCCCCATTCACATGTGTAATGTGTATATAGTTTGACTTTGTTGACCCTTTAGCTCCATTAGCATTAGCAAGAGTACTATGATGTCTGCCGAACAGGGAGGGTACATGTAATCACACGTGTAATGTTTAATAAAGTGCTTACTGTCCCCTCTGTAGGGCACTTCGGACAGGGACCTTATGCTTTTAGAAGAGATTGGACAGTGCATTGCAAATGGCACGACTAAGAGCACTTCAATTAGAGAGGGCTATTACCACAGTCAGCGTGAGGAAGAGGGCAACGCTCCAAGTGTCTGATGGGTAGGACGAGTTTGAGTCAGAGCCTCACCTTACTGCTCTGCTTAATAATTCTTACATTGTACTTTTAGACACATCAGAGCGGATGCTAATGAAAGCGGAACTGGAAAAGTGGATGTGGAAGAATGAGAGAGTGATTCACAAAATCCCAGGCAGTGTTTATTGCTCAACTACACAGGGATTTTCATCCTTATTTCCGTAATGGTAAAGCTGAATTTTCAGCATTATAATTCCAGTCTTCAATGTTACATGAAACTTCAGAAATCTTTCTAATATGCTAATTTGCTGCTCAAGAAATATATATTTTTTTCACTTAATATTATTTTAAAATAAAATAAAAAATCAATTTTTATTTATTTAAATAGTTATCATTCCTCATAATCAAAAAGACAAAATTAAATGATAAATGATGGCTGTGCTGTTTAAAATGAAAATAATTCTTATTTGTTTCTTGGCCAATGGCCATGACAATGGCAATGATCACTTATGTGTTTTTTACCCATTAACAGTTGCAAGGAATTAGATTTTCCCCGTTTAGGTTTCAAAAATATATTTTTGTGGTATTCAGTTGATGTGCAATGACTTTTATGTCACTGAAATGTCATGTCTCCGCTTCCTGTGACGTGATATATTGATGTAATATTGTTCCCTATGCATTTTGTAGTGCCCTTTAGACTGAACAGAGATGGTCGAATACCCTATGAAGTTGACTTAAAGAGAGGAGGTAAGAAGGAATGTCAGGGCGAAAAAGAAGGAGAGCAACGAATTAAAGCAGAAGTCGAGGACTGATGGGGTTGGTGTAGGCAGGGTTAATGTAATCCTCAAGAAATTGACCTTTGACCTCAGTCTAACAAGGGGTCACATCTGTCCGCTCAGCTCTGGCCCATTAATTAACTCTCCTGCAGTTTCGCCTGACTGTGTTGAACATTCTGTGTTGTTCTCCTCAAATCTCAGCACAGGAACGATTCACAAAATCGAACCCGTTTTGCTAGTCGTCAAATTAAATAGTTACAAAACATCCACACAGAAAGTGGTCTTTACAATCAGACACCAACTCAAAGTGCGACGATCAGAGAAAAATGCACTTTAATAAACAGAAAATCATTTGTCAAAATTTCAGCTGCCCCTTATCCAGTTTCCTTCGCTTCTAAAAAGCACATCAAATGAAATAGTTTTTGGAAACACATTTGGAAATGTGTTTCCAAAGATACTTGTAGCCCAAGTCACTTGCACTATTGATTTAAATGCATTTGATTGTAGCTGTGAGGGTGGTTTCAAATGAATGATAGTGGTGTGCAGAGAGAATGGCCGATCTGGAGTCAGCACTAACTGCGGCAGCATGGCATAAAAGCATGTGGCATGTGCGAGTATGGTATTACCCACACTCTCAGTAAATGAGACCAAGTCAACGGCACCAGCCATCAATTATTCAGAGGCTGAGATGGCAATTATGGCACTGAGCACAACCAACATGAATATTTTATGAAGGCTAACGCAGACCATAAGAGTGTGAGAGGGGGGGACTCAGAGAAAGAGAATATAAATGTGCCCATTTCTGGGAGACACAGTCAATGCCCGTTCTTGCCATAGAGCAACACTCAAAGTGCCATACGGTATGGCATGATATCTCTCTTCATCTGCTCTCTCCTCACCTTACACCATCTTATCTTCATTCAAGTCTCCCAGAATGCCTTAGTGAGACAGCAGCATGGGCTGTCTTAATGGGACCAGGGGCAGATGTCTTCTCGAAGGCAGCTCTCCATTACCTCTACTATGTGGGCACGATAGGAATGTTGCAGTTGTTTAAAACACAGAGTTTGAGTTGTGGCTAATTGAGTAAGGCGACACCATGTTGACGAGTGATAGGCTAATCTTCTGAGCGGCAGCGCTAAAGCCAGGCGGCCCTGTAACTCGCTGTCCGTTTCAGCCTCTGTTTGTCATTCACTCGATCTCTCTTTTAGCTCCCCTCTAGAAAAAAACAAAACAAAACATATTGCTCATGCTTTCAAAATATACACGTGCATCG